AGGATTATAAAGTCCAGGTGTGGTACTGTAGGATAAGCACCAGACTGCTAACTGTAAGAGCAGAGGTTCAAACCCACCTGTCACTCCTCAGAAACATTATACAGGGTTGTTATGAGTTGGAATGAACTCGACAACACTTAACAACAGTGGGCAAAATATTGAACTACGCAGAAAGCATCAAAAGAAGATGGAAAGAACACTTAGAGTAATAATATACAAAGTCACTGTACCAAAAAGGACTGGTTGATATTCAACCATTCCAATAGGTAACATATAATAAAAAACCAATGGTGTTGAAAGACGAAGTAAAAGCTGAACTGAGGACACTAACACATACACACACAAACATGGAATTGATGGAATACCAATTGATGTTTCAGCAAACAGAGACAGTACTGGAGGTGCTCACTCATCTATGCCAAGAAATTTGGAAGACAGTTACCTGGCCAACCAACTAGTTTGTTGTTGTTTGTTGTTAGGAGCTGTCGAGTCAGTTCCAACTTATAGTGACTTTATGCACAATAGAATGAAACACTGCCTGATTGGACACCAAACGTGCAATCATTGTTAAACTTGAGCCCATCACTGCTGCCACGGTGTTGTTGGGGGTCTTCTTTTTTGCTGATCCTCCACTTTACCAAGCATGATGTCCTTATCCAGTGACTGATCCCTACTAATAATATGTCAGAAGTATGAGAGATGAAGTCTCACCTTCCTAACTTCTAAGGAGCATTCTAGCTGTACTTCTTCCAGTAGGGATTTGTTTGTTCTCTGGAAGTTCCTGGTACTTTCAAAAACCATAACTCAAATGCATCAAGTATTATACAGTCTTCCTTATTCATAGTTCAACTTTCACATGCATATGAGACTATTGAAAATACAATGGCTTGAGTCAGGCACACCTTAGTCCTCAAACTGGCATCTTTGCTTTTGTACACTTTAAAGAGGTCTTGTGCAGCAGATTTGCCTAATGCAGTATGTCATGTGATTTCTTGACTGTTGCTTCCATGAGTGTTGATGGTGAATACAAGCAAAATGAAGTCTTTGACAACTTCAATCTTTTCTCCATTTATCATGATGTTATTTATTGGTCCAGCGGTGAGGATTTTTTGTTTTCTTTACACTGAGGCGCAACTCATACCAAAGACTGTGCTCTTTGATCTTCATCAGTAAATGTTTTAAGTCCTCTTCACTTTCAGCAAGCAAGGTGGTATCATATACATATTGCAGGTTATTAATGAGTCTTCCTCCAATCCTGATACTGTGTTCTTCTTCATATAATCTAGTGTTTCAGATTATTTGCTCACCATACAGATTAAACAAATATGGTGAAAGAATACAACCCTGGCATGCAACTTTCCTGATTTTAAGCCATTCAGTGTCCCCGGTTCTGTTCTAACAACTGTAGCTTAGTCTCATGTACAGGTTCCTCAGGAACACAGTTAAGTGTTCTGGAATACTCATACTCCCCAACGTGGTGCATAGCTTGTCGTGATCCACAGAATCGAAAGCTTTTGCATAGTCAATAAAGTACAAGTAAACATCTCTTTAATATTCTCTACATTCAGCCAAGATTTATCTGATATCAGCAATGATAGTCCTCATTCCATGTCATGATCTGAATCTGGCTTTTATCTCTAGCAGTTCCCAGTCAATGTGTTGTTGCAGCCATTTAAAAATTATCCTTAGCAAAACTTTATTTGTGTGTGATATTGATGAAAATTTTCAATGATTTCCACATTCCATTGGTTCACCTCACTTTGGAATGGGCACACATATGGATCTTTTACAATCAGTTGCCCAGGTAGCTGTCTACCAAATTTCTTGGCATAAATAGATGAGTGTTTTCAGTGCTGCATCAGTTTGTTGAAAAGTCTCAATTTGTATTCTATCATCTTCCTTTGCCTTGTTCTATGCCAGATCCTTCAGGGCACCTTGGACTTCTACCTTCAGTACCATTGGTTCTTGAAATGGTTGAGCATCCACCATTTCTCTTTGTACAGTGACTCTATTATTCCTTCCATCTTCTTTTGATATTTTCTGCATCATTCAATATTTTGTTAATAGAATCTTTCAGTATTGCAAGTCAAGGCTTGAATTTTTTCTTCAGTTATTTCAGCTTGAGAAACGCTGAGCGTATTATCCCTTTGGTTTTCTAACTCCAAGTCCTTGCACATTTCAATATAACATTTGACTTTGTCTTCTTGACATGCCGTTTGAATTTTTCTGTTAAGCTCTTTCACGTTCTCATTTCTTCCATTTGATTTAGCATCTCTGCACTGGAGAGCAAGTTTCAGAGTCTCTTCAGACATCCATTTTGGTCTTTTCCTTCTTTCTTGTCTTCTTAATGACTTTTTGCTTTCTTCCAATATGATGTTCATGATGTCATCCCAAAACTCTTTTGGTGTTCAGTTAGAAGTATGTAATTTATCAAATCTATTCTTGAGATTATCTCTAAATTCAAGTGGGGTGTGTTCAAGGTCATATTTTGAGTCTTGTGGATCTGTTCAATTTGCTTCAACTTCAGCCTGAACTTGCATATGAGCTATTGATGGTTTGTTCCACAGTTTGCCCATGGCCTTGTTTTGAGTGGTGATATGGAGCTCTTTCACCATCTTTTTCCACGGGTGTAGTCAATTTGATTTATAGGTATTCTATCTGGTGAGATTCATGTGTATAGTTGTCTTGTATGTTGTTTAAAAAAGGTATTTGCAATGAAGAAGTCACTGGTCTTGCAAAATTCTATCATGTGATCATCAGCATCATTTCTATCACCAAGGACATACTTTCCAACTTTTCATCCTTCTTCTTTGTTTCCAACCTTTGCATTCCAATCACCAATAATTATCAATGCGTCTTGATCACATCTTTGATTATTTTCAGACTGAAGAGTTGGTAGAATTCTTCAACTTCATCATCACTGACTTTAGTAGTTGGTGTGTGGATTTGAATAACAATGGTATAAACTGGTCTTCCTTGTAGAAGCATGAATATTATCCTATCATAGACAGCATCTTGAAATGTTATTTTTGATAATGATTGCTATACCATTCATCTTTCATTTTTCATTCCTGCCATAGTAAATAAACCAGGCAAGTTTTTAAAATTAAACTGGTCAATGCCAGTCCATTTCAGCTGAAAATGCCTAGGATAATGCATAGTTATACATTCCATTTCATTTTTGAACACTTCCAGTTTTCCTAGTTTAATATCTGTACATTCTATGTTCTGATTATTAATAGATGTTTGCAACTTTTTTAAAATATATTTTGAGTTGTGCCCCATCAAGAAATAAGGTCCCAAAAGCTTTACTCCATTTGCATGATCAGGGTCAAATCTATTTTGAAGAGGCAGCTTTTCCCCAATTGTATTTTGAGTGTCTTCCAACCTAATGGTCTTATCTTTTGGCACTATATCTGACTATATTTTGCTACTATTCACAATGTTTCAATACTCAGTATTCTGGTGCTATCTGACAGTGCTCCACTGCTATTCATAAGGTTTTCAGTGGCTCTGGTAGCGTAGTGGCTACGAATCGGGCTGCGAACCTTAAGGTCAGCGGTTCGAAACTACCAGCTGCTCCGCGGGAGAAAGATGAGGCTTTCTACTCCCGTAAAGATTTACACCCTCGGAAACCCTGTACAGGGTCGCTATGGGTCGGAACCGACTCGACGGCACTTAACAACAACAACAACAAAACATTTTGAAGTACTTTGCCACTTCTTCTTCCTAGTCTGTCTTAGTCTGGAAGCTCAGCTGAAACCCCCACTCATCTGTCAGTCTGTTGTATTGTGGTGGATTGCATATTGTTGTGATGCTGGAGGCTATGCCACAGGCATTTTGAATGCCAGCAGGGGCATCCATGGTGGTCAACCAAGTAGAAGAAATCCATATTTATGCCCATTCCAATGAAAGGTAATCCAACCGAATGTGGAAATTATTCAACAATATCATTAGCAACACACACAAGTAAAATTATGCTGAAATAAATAAAAACTTATTGTAGCAACACACTGACAGGAAACTTCCAGAAATTCAAATCAGATTTAGAAGAGGACATAAAACAAAGAATATCTTTACTGATGACAGATAGATCTTGGCTGAAAGCAGAGAATTCCAGAAAGATGTCTACCTGTGCCTTAATTATGCAAAGATTATTGATTGTGTGATTCATAACAAATTATGTGTAATATTGCAAAGAATAGGAATTCCAGAACACCTAATTGTCTTCATGCAGAACTGTACATACACCCAAAGACAGTTGTTTAATCACAATAACGGGCTACTATGTGGTTAAAATCAAGAAAGTTGTATATCCTTTTACCCTATTTATCCAGTCTGTGTACTGAGCAAATAATCTGAGAAATTGGACTAGATGAAGCAGTGTGCAACACTGCTTGGAGGAAGACTCATTAACAACCTGAGATATACAAATAACTTACCTTTTTTTATTGAAAGCAAAGAATACCTGTAGCACTTACCACAGGAGATCAAAGATTACAGCCTTTAATGTGGATTACACTACAGAATAAAGAAAACAAAAATCCTCACATCTGGGCCAATAAGCAACATTTATGATAAACCGAGAAAAGATTGACATTGTCAAGGATTTCATTTTACTTGCATCAAAAATCAGTGCCTATGGAAGTAGCAGTCAAGAAATAAAATTACATATTGCAATGGGCAATTCTATTGTAAAAGAACTCTTTCTTAAAGTGTTAAAATACAAAGATGTTACTTTGAGGAACAAGATGTGCAGGACCCAAGCCATGGTGTTTTCAATGACCTTCTATGTATGTAAAAGCTGGGCAATGAATAAAGAAAACAGAAAAAGAATTGAAGCATTTGGATTATGGTTTTGATGAAGAAATTTGAATATACTATAGATTGTTAGAAGAACTAACAAATCTGTCTTGGAAGTAATACTGCTAGAATGGTCCTTAGTGTGAAGAGAGTGAGATATCTTCTTCCCGTACTTTGCACATGTTATCAGGAAGGACATGGAGAAGAGCATCGTGCTTGGTAAAGGTGAGTTGAAAAGAAGAAGACCCTCAATGAGACAGATTGGTACAGTGGCTGCAACAATGGGCTCAAACATGGCAATGATTATAAGACTGGTACAGGATCAGGCAGTGTTTCATTCTGTTGTATGTGGGATCACTTGAGTGAGTCGGAACTACTTAATAGCATCTAACAACAATTTCAATATGGGAAACTGAAATTGAGGGTCTTCTAGGAAAATGAGCTAAATAAGCATAAGACAATCCAGTCAACCCAAGTAGGTTATGTGTTCATTTAGGGTGTTAGAGTTAGATTACATTTCAATATATTTTTAAGAGAATCTCTGGTTTGTCCCTTCCTTATGTCAGAATAATTTGATAGTAGAACACGCTAAGAAGTGTCCATTCAAATATTGTCCAAGATTGAACACATCTGAAGTAGGAAACAATAGAACCAGTTGACATGACATTTTGAGACTGGCTTTAGATCTGCATATTGAATTCAGAGCCTCAAGCAAATCACAGTGCCTCTTCAGGTTTTGAGATTTCCATCTGCACATGAAGGGTTGGTGTAGGACCTCTGAGGACCTTCTAGCTTGCACACCCTAGACTTATATTTGGAAAGAATGGAGAGACAAGTCATGGGGGTAATGTCCTCTTTCTTGTTCTCTATTATATTCCCCATACTTATCACAGTGCCTGGTACTTACAAGGCACTCAGCAGATCTTGCTTGAATGAATGAATGAATGAAAACACTCATGAATCATGCCTCCTCTTTCCCCTTGATAAACACAAATTCAGGGCCCCAATCTGTGCCAGTGGGGACAGCAGGAAGCAGCTGTTTGCCTCTGAGGAACGGCTGTGTGATCTGACTGTGTAAACAGACATTTACCCAGGTGTTAAGAGGTGTAACTGAGAGAGGACACACATTTCTTTCTTTCTTCATGGTAAAGATCCAGAAACCCTGACATATCTTTGCCTTTCCTGAGGCAGTGCTGGTGTGGGAGCCGAGGGCCAAATATAACTTACTCTCCCACTCCAAAGTCACTCATTCTTTAATCACCCTTTAGGGCAAATACTAATATCCTGCGTTATTTTGAAAGTGCCATGGGCTGCCCATAGAACCAACAGACCTGTGTTGGAAGAAGCGCAGCCAGAGTGCTCCTTGGAGGACAAGATGGCCAAACTTTGTCTCTCATACTTCAGACATATTGTCAGGAGGGACCAGTCACTGGAGAAGGATATCATGTTTGGTAAGGTGGAGCGTCAGAGAAAAAGAGGAAGACCCCCAACGAGATGGATTGGCCAAGTGGCAGCATCAATGGACTCAAGTATGGCAACAGTAGTGAGGTTGGCCCAGGATCAGGCAGTGTTTCATTCTGCTGTGCATAAGGTTGCTATGAGTTGGTACCGACTTGATGGCACCTAACAACAACAACAATGTTATTTTATTGTTGGATGCTTTCACCTGTCTGCTGTCTGTTTCCTTTCAATAAAGTGCAAACACATAGAAAGTGCACAAGTTGTCTTGTCCAATGTCATATTCCCACATCTGGAAGTGTCTGGTAGTTGGTGGGACAGCTCAATAAATAGATGTTGACTGACTGATGAGTAAGATTTGCTACAAGATTTCTCTAGTGCAATCATCAACTTGAAATGGTGTCTGAAATTCCCAAGATTAAGCCAGACTTGCCTATTGCAATACGTCATTTGATTTCTTGAATGCTGCTTCCGTGACTGTTGATAGTTGACCCAAGAAGAATGAAGTCCTTGATAACTTCAATCTTTTCTCCATTGATAAGAATTTTGTTTATTGGTCCATTGGTGAGGATTTTTGTTTTCTTTACATTGAGATGTAATCCATACTGAAGGCTGTGCTCTTTGATCTTCATCAGTAAATGTTTCAAGTCCTCTTCACTTTCAGCAAGCAAGGTTGTAGCATCTGCATATCGTAGGTTGTTAATGAGTCTTCCTCCAATTCTGATGCCATGGTTTTCTTCATATAATCCAGTTTCTCAGATTATTTACTCAGCATACACGTTGAATAAGTATGGTGAAAGAATACAACCTTGTCACACAGGTTTCTTAATTTTAAACCATTCAGTGTTCCCATGTTCTGTTCGAACAACTGCTTTTTGTCGCACGTACAGATTCCTCATGAGCACAATTAAGTGTTCCGGAATACTCATACTTCTCAATATTGTCCATAGCTTGCATGATCCACACAATCAAAAGCCTTTGTGTAGTCAATAAAGCACAGATAAACATATTTCTGATATTCTCTGCTTTCAGCCAAGATCCATTGGGCATCAGCAATGGTATCCCTCATTCCACGGCCTCTTCTGACTCTGGCTTGAACCTCTGGAAGTTCTCTGTCAATATATGCTTGCAGCCATTTCTGTATTACCTTTAGTAAAACTTTACTTGCATGAGATATCAAAGAGATTGTCTGATGGTAAAAACAACCATAGGATATCATCTCACCACTGCAATAAAAACAATGATCAAAGAAACAAAAAATAACAAATGCTGGTAAGGATGTGGGAGATTGGAAGTCTCATATATGACTGGTGGAATGGTAAAATGGTACAACCACTGTAGAAAACATTGTGGAGTTTTCTTAAAAAGTTGGAAATTCCATATGATCAAACAATCCCATTACTACCCTAGAGAAATTAACAGCAAATTAAGAGCTAACCACCCCTCCATAAGGAATGTGTTCATCAAACTAATCAACCATTTGAGACTCAAAGGGCAGTATTTCCCCCAAAACACAATTCAGAGGCAAGAGGGGCAGGAAAGATGGGCAAATGGAAACAGGGAGTCCAGGAAGAAGCAGGAAAATGATTGCTGTATGTTAATGAAATTGCAAATAATGTCAGAAAAAACAATGTGTGTAAATAGGTGAATGGAAAACTATTCTGATACGTGAAATGTTACAAAATAGATAGATTAACTTTCAAAAATTTGCTTACTTCTAGGTGATCTAACCATTTGAGTTGGTGACCCACTGAAAATGGTCTTATTGTCTTCTTTCCTTTCCTACATGACAATTTTTTTTGTGTGTGTGTAATGTTTAGACTTCAGCTTTCAATGAGAATGTATTTCATATTTAAAGGAGAAAATGATAAAGCCATTTAAAAAAATGGCATATAGACAAAACAACTGGAGGGGCGGGGCTTGAATGCAGCTAGGGTAGAGGTGCAGTGAGGCTCACCATCAGCAATACACAGAATACCAGGCAAAGCAGATTCAGGGCAGAACTCAAAGGCTCAGAATCACATAGGTAAGAATATTTTAAAAGTCTGAAGGCTTATAGCTAGTGGAACTTGAAAAAGAAGTAAGAAATAGCACACTTTTGAATTTGCCAGACTCAGAGGCCCAGAGCCCACAACTTGGGCAAGAACAAATGGCAAGACCAAGTAGGGGAGCAGACACACCACAGAAAAATGCCCCAGGAGACTTGGAGCAAAGGTGGACATTGTTTCATTCTTCTGTGCATGGAGTCGTTATGAGTTGGTTCCAACTCGATGGCACCTGACAACAACAACATACACTTTGTCAGTTTTGCTTTGTTCTGATTTTCTTTTCTTTTCTTTTTAGTTTCTGTTCATTGAACCCCCACTGTTTGCGCACCTCTATTCTGGTGACTAGAGGGTGTGCCTAGGCAAGTAGACACCCCTCAACCTCAGCACTGGTGGGTTCTTCTGCCACACATGCTCACAGATGCTCTCACTCCAGGAGCCAGCCCTGAACTCTTTGTTTTTTTAAATACAGAAAAAACCAGAACCTGGGGTTTGCAGAGGGAAAGAGAGTTTAAAAATAAAACAGACCAAAATTAAATTAAATCCTGAGGTATAGCATAACAATCAAGAATGGCATCTTGAAATCTATCAGGCAGCTTTGGAGTCAAGAAGCTGAAAGAGGGCATTATAGTCATAAGCATATCGTTGTTATTAAGTGTCATGGAGTAGGTTCTGACTCATATCGACCCTGCATAGGATTTCTGAGGCTTATAAATCTTTACAGGAGCAGAAACCCTCACCATTCTTCCATGGAACAGCTGCTAGTTTCAAACTGAATGCTGAGGTTAGCAGCCCGATTCGTAACCACTACGCTTAGACTACAGATGTCTTTTGCTGTTGTTTTTTTTTTTTTTTTCTTCTCTCCCTCCTCTCACTTTTCTGTGATTATAGACTACAGTATCCAGTCTACTTTTTTTTTTTTTTTTTGATGTTGGTCTTTTGTTTTTGTTTTACTTTTCTTCTTGTGTGGATTTTTTTTTTTCTGTTTTGCTATTTTATGCTCCCCCTTCTACATTTGGGGAACTCTTTCTCTCCCTATATTACCTAAGAAGAAACAGCAGCTGCTGCCATATAGTCAAGCTACAATCACATTCTATAAAACACCAAAATCCAGGCAAGAACTAATACCAACTGCCATATACCAGGGAGGGAGACAACACCTGTGAAACTAACTCTGAGTTAAACAATAAGAAGAGTGAAAAGGGAAGCCCACATCCTGATCACATCTACCTGGAAGCAATCAGAAAGTATAAAAAAATACCAAAAGTATTTTTGGTAAGTAGTAAGGCCACAGATAAACACTAAACATGTCCAAGAAGCAAAAGCAGATGACCATATCAGCACATGTCCAGAAACAAGATAAAATGTCTGAGACAAATGACCTAGAGGTAGGCCTTGGAAATACCTGAGAAGGAATTCAGAAAAATGATTATAAATGTTTCAAAACCTTTACAATGGAGTTGAGAAAAATAAGGAAGAAGTCAGGAAAGTGCTACAGGAACAATCAAATAAGATAGATACAGCATTGGAAATCATTCAAAACCTATAGAAAGAGGTCCAAACGATCAATAATAGAATATCAGAAATAGACAATACATTGAAAGCACTAATGAGTAGAATAGAAGAGATGGAAGGCAGAATCAGTGAGCTGAAAGGCATATCTCTCAATACCACTAAGATAGAAGAGTAAACAGAAAAAAGGATTTAAAAAATCTGAAGGTCTAAGATTCATGTTGGACAACGTGAAGAGGAATAACTTTAAAATTATCGGCATTCCAGAACAAGAATAATCACTCAAATCCACAGAGGAAATAGTTGAAGAACTGCTGGAAGAAAATTTCTCTAACATCCTGAAAAGTGAAAAGATAAACATTCAAGAAACTCAATGAACTCCAGGAAAGAAAATCACTGAGACATAGTATAATCCAGTTCACCAAAATCAAAGATAAGGAGACACTCCTGAAAGTAGCTAGGGAAAACAGAAGTGTTACATACAAAGGCAATCAAGTCTGGATCTCTCAGCAGAAATCATGTAAGCAAGAAGGCAATGGGAAGTCTCCCTCCTCCCGCTCGCCCTCGGATTGGACTTGCCATTGCAGCTGCTGCTTCCTTCCTTCCAAGGTGTCAGTGGGTCAGTTGGTTTGTCTCCAAACGTCAGAGTCTGTGCCATTGAACTGCCTTCCGTGGCTGAAGTGGATCCTTTTGGCTCCCCTGCCAGCACTCCAGGAGGCCCCACGCTGGGGAATGGATTGGCGGGTGAAGAAGGCCCAGCTGAGGCCTTCTTGGCACAGCAAGAGAGTGAGATTGCGGGCATTGAGAATCATGAGGCTTTAGCCATCCTGGACAGTGGTGCCCTCGGGCTCCAGCCACATAGTGACCTGCCAGGGATTCAGATGCTGTTGATGGAGTGATGAACTGGGAATATTACCAGGACAGCCATGGTCTGACAGACAATTATACAGCTATCTCACAAATAGATCAATTGCAATCAGAGCATGAAAGAATTTGTAAATGGAGAGAAGAGCAAATAGAATGCTTGGAAGATCTTGATGTCAATTCTTGGATGCAAGAAGCAGAGTAGAAAGAGAAGCAACCAAGGAGCTAGAAAAGTGGTATGCCAGGCAGGTTGAGCAGCTACAGAAAACAAAAGCAAACAACAGGGCCGCAGAAGAAGTCTTTGTAAATGACATTGATGAGTCATCCTCAAGCACAGAGTGGAAATGGGTGATCTGGCTGTGTGACTTTAACCCCAAGTCCAGCAAGCAGGCCAAAGACATCTCCTGCATGCGCTCAGTCCTCATCTCCCTCAAGCAGGCCCCCCAGTGCACTGAAGAGCTGCCCTATGGAAACACTGCATCTGCAATATCTTAATCCTACTCAGTGAAGCTCTTCACAGTAATTGGATTAATTATGTTGAGTTCTTTTGGACCAAGCCTTTTGGCTTTAGAGTTGATCATTGTTTGTGATTGCATGTTTCCTTCAACTGTTTTCTCCCTGGCATTCAGAAAGGAGGAGAAGGAAGAGGAAGATGGGAGGGAATCCTCCCAAGAGAAGCCTCATGTGTGCTTTTGTGCATTATTCTAAGAGTAAATTTCTGTTCAAACAATAAAATAAAAATAAGGCAATGGGGAGACATATATAAAACCCTGAAAGAAAAAAAAACTGCCAAACAAGAATCCTTTATCCAGCAAGGCTATCAATCAAATACAATGGTGGAATCAAAACATTCCAGGATAAACAGAAGCTAAGGGATTCTGCCAAAGCAAACCCTGTGCTACAAAACATCCTAAAGGAGGTTCTGTGGACAAAGAACCAACAAGAACAGACAACAACCAGAGATTGACATACGTGGCAGCAACTCCCAGAACTAAATTGACAGAAGGAAGAGTCGAGAAGAGAACAAAACTATCAGAAAAAAATCAGATATCTGGGAGGTCAGTCTATGATCAAAACAATTACAATGTAAAACAAGGTAAACACATAGTAACAGACACCAGATGGTGAAAAGGTCAGGTAGATTACAGGATGAAATAGACTGCACTACAGGATGAAATAGACTGCACTAAATGGACTATAAAGCAACTGCAAAGAAAATTAACACTTCACAACATTCCAAGAAAATGAAAAATCCAAGAACATGAAAACATTAAAACTATGAGGAAACTCACAAGAAAGAACACAAAAAGCATGAACTCAGCAAAGGCAGACACACAGAACAATGAAAGCAACAACACCACAATAAAAAAAACCATAATGGCAGCAATCAATCCATACCTATCGTTAATTACACTAAATATAAACGGATGAAATGCACCAGTTAAGAGATGAAGGGTGGAAGAATGGATAAGAAAACAAGATCCTTCAATATGCTATTGGCAAGAGACACATCTCACACAAAGAGTCAAAAACAGATTAAAAGTCAAAGGATGGAAAAAATATATATCAAGCTAATTGCAATAAAAAATAAACAGGAGTGGCAGTGCTAATCTCTGATAAAATAAACTTTAAGGCAAAAACCAGTGTAATGGATAAAGATGGATATTATCTCATGATTAAAGGGACAAATTGAACAAGATGACAAACCATAATAAATATCTGTGCTCACAATGAAAGAGCTCCAAAATATATAAAGCAAACTCTAATTGATTTAAAGAAAGAAATAGATGAATCTACAATAATAGTGGGTGATTTTAATACATCGCTTTCAAAAATGAATAGAACCAGAAAGAAACTTGACAAAGACACAGACAAACCAAACAACACAATCATCCAACCGGACCTCATAGAGGTGTGCAGAGCATTCAACCCAACAACAGCACAATACACATTCTTTTCCAGTGCACATGAAATATTCTCCAGAATAGACCATGTTTTGGGCCACAAAACAAATCTCCATAAATTTACAAATATCAAAATACTACAAAGCATCTTCTCAGACCACAATGCTATCAAATTAGAAATCAACAGTAAGTAGACCAAAGAAATAAAGTCAAATACATGGAAACTGAATAACACCCAGCTGAAAAGTGACTGGGTAGTAGCAGGAATTAAACATGAACTCACAAAGTTCCTAGAAACAAATAAGAACGAAAACACAACATACCAAAATCTTTGGGACATGGTGAAAGTGGTGCCGAGAGGACAATTTAGTGCAATAAATGCACGCATCCAAAAAGAAGAAAGAACCAAAATTAACATGTTAACACAGCATATACAACAATTAGAAACAGACCAACAGAGGGAACAAACAGCCACCAAATGAAAATAAATAATAATAAAGAGTAGAGCAGAAATAAATGAGATAGAAAACAGAAAAACTATAGAAAGTATCAACAGGACAAGAAGCTGGTTCTTTGAAAGGATTAACAAAATTGACAGATCATTGGCAAACCTAACAAAAGAAAAGAGAGAGAGGACACAAATAATACACATTAGAAACCACATGCACGATGTCACAACAGAACCAAAGGAAATCAAAAGGATAATAACAGAATACTATGAAAAGTTGTACTCCAACAAATTTGAAAACTTAGAAGAGATGGATACATTTTCAGAAAAACACAAACTACATAAAGTTGCACACAGTGAAGTAGAAAACCTGAACACACCCATAAGAAAAGAAGAAATTGATTAGGTCATCAAAAAACTCCCAACCAAACGAAGTCCAGGCCCACATGGCTTCACTGGTGAGTTCTACCAAACTTTCAGGAAACAACTGTCACCAATTCTACTCAAATTATTCCAGAAGATAGAGAAGGATGGAAAACTTCCTAATACATTTTATGAACCAAGCATAACCCTCATACCAAAACCAGGGAAAGACGTCACTAAGAAAGAAAATTATAGAGCAATATCCGTCATGAACATAGATGCAAAAATTCTCAACAAAATCCTAGCCTACAGAATCCAGCAGCACATCAAAAAGATAATACATCATGATCAAGTGGGATTCGTATCAGGAATGCAAGGATGGTTCAACATTAGAAAAACAACCAACTTAATCCACCATATAAATAAGAAAAAAGAAAAGAACCACGTGATCATATAGACTGATGCAGAAAAGGCATTTGACAAAATCTAACATCCATTCCTGATAAAAACACTCAACAAAGTAGGAACTGAAGGGTAATTCCTCAACATAATTAAGAACATATATACAAAACCAACAGCCTACATTACTCTCAATGGAGAGAAACTGAAAGCCTTCCTTCTGCGAATAGAAACCAGACAAGGATGCCCTTTGTCACCACTCCTATCCAATATTGTGCTGGAAATCCTAGCAAGAGCTATCTAGCAAGACAAGGAAATTAAAGGCTCCCAAATTGGTAAAGAGGAAGTAAAACTCTATTTGCTGACGATATGATCCTATGCATAGAAAACCCCAAAGACTCAGTAAAAAAGTTACTAGACCTCATTTGAAGAGTCAGCAAAGTGTCAGGATATAAGATCAACGTACAAAAATCAGTTGGATTCCTCTATACCAAAAATGACAGCATTGAAAAGGACATTAGGAAAGAAATACCATTTATAATAGCCACTCAAAGGATGAAATATCCAGGAATAAATGTAACCAGAGAAATAAAGGACTTATACAAAGAAAAATACAAAACACTACTACAAGAAACCAAAAGACACCTACAGAAATGGAAGAATGTACCATGCTCTTGGATAGGAAGACTTACCATTGTGAAAATGTCAATACTGCCCAAAGCAATTTGCACATATAATGTAATCCCAAACCAGATTCCAATAACATTCTTCAAAGAGGTGGAAAAAACAATTACAAACTTTATATGGAAGGGAAAGAGACCCAAGATAAACAAAGCACTGCTTAAGAAGAATAAGGTTGGAAACATCTTGATCCCCGACTTCAAAATTTATTACACGGCTACAGTGGTCAAAACAGCTTGGTATTGGTACAATGAAAATACATTGGTCAATGAAACAGGATCAAGAATCCAGAAATTAACCCATCCACATACAGCCAACTGATTTTTGACAAAGTACCTAAATATATCGCATGGGTAGCTGATAGTCTCTTCAACAAATGATGCTGGCAAAACTGGAAATCAATATGCAAAAGATTGAAACAAGACCTTCACCTCATGCCTTTTACAAAAACCAACTCAACATGAATTAAAGACCTAAATGTGAATCCCAGAATTATGAAGGCCATCGATAAAAAAATAGGGACAAATGTGAGGGCACTAATTTAGGGAATACACAGACTAACAAACATTTTGAAAACTACACAAACAAAAGTAGACAAAGTAGATGACTGGAACATATTAAAAATTAAAAACTTATGTGCAGCAAAAGACTTCACCAGAAGAGTAAAAAGGGAACCCACAGAATGGGAAAAAATCTTTTGCAATGACACATCAGACAAGGGACTCATTTCTACAATATATAGGAAACCACAACACCTCTACAAGAAAAAGACAAATAATCCAATTTAAAAATGGACAGAGGATATGAACAGACACTTCACCAACGAGGACATCCAGGCAGCCAACAAACATATGAAGAAATGTTCACGATTACTAGCCATTAGAGAGATACAAATCAAAACAACAATGAAATATCATCTCACACCAGCAATAACAGCAAAGATCAAAAAATAGAGGGCAATAAATGCTGGCGGGGATGTGGAGAGACTGGGACACTCCTGCATTGCTGCGGGGATTGCAAAATGGTCCAGCCTCTCTGGAAAGCAATATGGCACTTCTTCAGAAGGTCGGAAATAGAAATGCCTTTTGATCCAGCAATTCCTCTACTTGGTATTTACCCACAAGAAATATGAGCCATAACATGAGTAGCTATATGCACACCAATGTTCATAGCAGCACTATTTACAATAGCAAAAAGATGGAGACAGCCTAAGTGCCCATCAATGGAGGAATGGATAAACAAACTGTGGTACATACACACAATGGAATATTATGCTACGTTGAAGAATAACAAGGAAGCTGCAAGCCACTGCATAACATGGATGAACCTTGAGGACATCATGTTGAGTGAAATTAGTCAGTCAAAAAAGGAGAAATACTGCATAGGACCACTAATGTAAAAGACTAGGAAAAAGAACCCATACTAAATGGGGAGTGGGATTCTTTCCTAGTTACTGGGATGTGGGGGCTGGGGTGAGGTGAGGGAGGGGAAGGTGGAGCACAGGATAGGGAATAGACACAGGATAGTTTGGGTGCCAGGGAAGCGGGGAAACACACAAGAAAGGGGATGGGAATGTTAGAACAAAGCAGACAAGAAAACAATTAGGCAGGTTTGCATGGGCTAAGTGGAACAGAGGTAAAAATAATGATGTATGCACAACCTTGGAACAACAGGGCTCTGGGATACAGGGATTGAGACAT